ACTTTAAATTATTAATTTTGGTTCTAACAAGAAAGTGTTTACGTGAAATATCAAAAATTGCGACCAGAAGTGGCTGTTAGATGAAACGAACCTTACTTTTGTTGTTGATGGATGATCAAAGTGATTTGAAAAACTTGAATATTTTTGAAATGTGACGCCAATTTTTGTATGTGAATAATTATGTTGTGATGGAAATCCACAAGTGGAAAAATTGCCACCAAAGCAGCAGAGAGCCCCCGTGGGAAATAAGAGTCGAAGTTGCGAGTACGTGTACAAAATTTACAACGTTTCAAAAACATCTCATTAAATCATAAATAGCCTATGGTAAAACATGCAAACCTCTATTACCTTATTAAACTCGTTAAACCTGTTGAACTTGTGGCGTGTAGATAGTAAATGACCAATCAAGACTGTTTTGCGGATCAAATTTTTTATTTACCAAAATTATTTTTCGGAATTCCTACCTAAATATTATTACTAATCAAAACATGTAATTCTGTAAGAATTTTTTTTAAAACAACCAAAATTAGAATTTTTTTTCAAAACTTTGTTTAAGTTTTACTGAAAATTATTTTGTTATTATTAAATTGTTTTTTTTTAAATTTAATAAATTATTTTTAATTTTGGTCAGGCCGTACAAAATTTGTTTATTGTTGAAACTTTTATTCAGCAAAAATTCAAAGCTTCAGGGCTGCTCAAAATTAAAATGAGGAGTTAATAACGTTTATTACACAGAGGTATTAATATTTTCTGACCACTCTGTCTATTTCATTTTTTACAGAAACCATTTTAAAAATGCTATCGTGACAAAAAAGGCAGATGTCTGTTGAAAAAATCCGTCAATAAACAAACAAACGCATATGTTGGAAGATATATGGGAATTATTTATTTGCGAAACCTGTGGCAGGCAGGCAGTTGAAGAGATGGGTTCACGGGTTATTAAGAGTTGTTCGCTCGTTGCAGCGTTAATGTTGTCAATAACTTCTGAAAGCAAAATTTTTCTTTTTCTCTAAAACGTCTTATGATAACTTGGCATTGTGGACTGCTATGGTTATTAATGGGGACTGTTTTTATAGTGAATTTACAATTTTCAAACTTCAATTTCGGTCAACTTTTTTTTATTTATTTTTATAAGTGTTTATAAAATTTATATAAACGATATTATATAAACATATTTTTAAATGAATTCCCTGTTTTTATATTACTACAACGACATGTTGTTAAGAATCATTGCATGTTGATTTCCACTGAAACCTGGTTGTTGTGTTGTGACGTCACTCAACATCCCACTCCATCACCATTCAACAAGCCGAAGCAAACAGCAGGCTAGTGTGGGGTGGTGAGGCAGGCGTGTGGTCGATCGCAGCTGCTGTTGATTGTTGGCTGATGGTGACGAAGATAGTTGTAACTGCATGTCCACTTCAATTTTTTAAACTTTTCGGGAGCTTCATGTTGCTCTAGGTTTGAAAAATGTCAAGATTAAAGATGTATTTTATGTAGAAACGAAATTTAACATCAGCCATGGAATTTTTAAATATTAGTACAATTTTCATTTTGTAGCTCAATTATACATTTCTAATGATTTACACCAACTGAAACAAAAACAAAACATGAAAAATTTAATGACAACCGTTTATAATTTTAAAAAACGCAGTAAAGTTATATTTCACAAACATTAATTTTTATTTTGTTTAAGCTTTAGGATTGATTTAGTTTTCTGGGCTGACATTTTATTTTGAGAAATGAAACACCCAATTGTTTCAGTAATAAACATTCGACGTTTTGTTACCCAGTTTTAACTGGGGCTAATGTTTAATACGTGCTACGGCTGGTAAACGGAAGTCTCACCAATTTAATAAAAAGTGGACGAACCACGTGGTGCTGCACGACTTTCCTGGCTTCCCACGTTCGAATTGAATGTCGGACGGATTAAAATACTTTATGAATGTAAAAATGTCGTTCGAAATCATGATATTAAAATTTAATTAGTTAAAAATTTCTTTACAAAAATAAAAAAAAATATTTTTTAAAGATAAAAAGCTAATAAGTATTTTTAATATTTGAAAATGTTTATTATCTGTCATGGTTGTTTTGATCGAGGTTTTTGTAATTGGTTGTTCATTTACTTTCTTCTCCGACGGAACGTTGGTGTGCGAGCAGCGAGCATCTCGCACAAGACGCTGGCCATTGTTTAAGAATTGACGATGTCAGACCTGCTTCCTTACTGAATGCTCGTCCTACGTTGCACTCTAGTTTTTCTTTGTCGGCGTGCATCCATCCTCCTACATTTCTTTGTTCTTTACAGTCATGTCGAGTTTTATTTTTACGGCTTGATTAATAAAATAGCATGTACAAAAACATATACAGCAACAAGTTCATTTCTCTGCTCAAAAGCTACGAGTTAAACAAAACCAACTAAAGTATATATACAGTTTTGTTATTACAAATGAAATGTACCACCATGCTGAACTATATGAAGTTCTTAACGATGATACGCAAAATAAATTTATATACACTGATTGATTATTGAGAAAATTATAAAGTAAAAAAGCAAAAATTTATGTTTAACAGCTTGGGATTAAAAATGTAACTGAAAAATTGTTGTTGGAAGTTTCAAAAGTGAAAGTTTCAAATTAAAATAATTTGAAGAGGAACTGTGGTGTCACCCAACCGTGAAGATGCATCATAAACCTTCATCCATCCGAGACTAGAGTTTTTTTGTTCAACTAAATTTTTCATGTTTGATAGAATAGACATTTTAATGAATTTTTCATGAAAATTCATAAAAAAATGTTTCGAGTATTATTTTTAAGTAAGTTACATATTTTTTTATCTTTTAACTCTTATAATTAACATTGACACGCAATGAACATACTAGCCATGTACAGTAATTCCCAGTAAATCTAATTATAATTAATAAGTAAAATAAAACAGACGAGGAACATTTCAATATGTTATGAATAAATAGACATGTTACGTATTAATAAGTTCATCATATTGTATCAGTTGTACTTCAATAAAAAATTTCATCAAGAGATCAAACACATCCAAAAATAATTCACCAAAAATATTGATTGATGAGTTTGTGTTTAACATTCTTTTGGCTAAAATTATTTTCTGCGTTAAAAAATTTAACTGTTTTAAAAAACAATTCAGCAAAGTCATCACTGACGTAGATAGATCAATAATAAGTGATTTTTTATTTTATATCAGTCAACATTTTTCAACAATTTCGATATTTTAGTAATTTTCAATCTTCACACTGGAAAACAAATTTTTTAAAATTGAATTTGTGCTACAGAGATATTGGCGGAGCACTTCAATTCGATGGTGGTCATACGAACGATCAAATACGTTGTTTCCTACTTTGATGTGCGTTGTTGTAATTGATTGGTTGGACGAAAAGGAAAGACGTTGATGCTATCTGGTGCTGAATGGATGGATGTGGATGGGATGGATGTATTCGAAACGCTTGATGTACAAAACTCTTCCCGTATCTTGTAATCTTTTATTAATTCATTTATAAAACTAAAAAAATTCATATCCCAGTTGTTTTTTCAGCCTAAATTGCAAAACGAAATAGTTAAATTCAGTTACAATAAGCATGTATACAAAATAGGAACGGCTGATGACATTTAAAATATTTGATATAAATTTTTTCTTGCAAAATATTTTGCTAAGTGAAACTTTCAACGAAAAGATGTTTTTGTCGTTCTCACATGAATGAGTATTTACAATATTAAAGTTATTTTAAAATGTGTCAAAATTATGAAATAATATTTTTTTAATTTTGTCGTTAAAATTTATTTAAACTGTTTATTTATAAAAACTGTTTAAGTTAACTGTCGAAAATGTAAAATGACTATTTATTCTTCCAATTAGAAAAATAATTAAATTGCCAAATCTCAATGGAAATGCGATATTTTCAAATTCTAACTTCCGCAAGAAATCCATGTCGGTCAACGCTCTTTCGTGCAAATTCTTGTTACTTCAAAAAAAAACAACTTGTAAATTTTCACAATTTTGTATTTTTTCACTGAAAAAAAGATTATCACTTCATACGATACATACACTTCATACATTGTGTGTTTATGATTTTTAATTAATTTTTTGCAAAAAACATTTGCATATTTTATGACATTTCAAACTTTTAAATAAAATTAATATTTTCACTTTAAAAGCCCCATTTAAATAAAAATTTAGTTATGCAGTTTTTACACACGCAGTACTAATGAATATATATTTTTATATTTTTCAGTTTATCATTTTTTTTGCACGCATTCCATCCATCATCTTCCCTGTTTTCAAATAACATTTTTCCACTTCCTCCACCGCAGGTTGTCAAGTCAGCGATGTAAAACATAAAAGCATTCTTCTAACTGCTCTGCTGGGAGTCCACCATGACACTCATTTATTCTTCAAACACCCCATCTTTTGGTCATCTTCCAGACATACATTTTTCTAATAATATTCAGATATCACATTCTACACACACCTTATACATCCGTCTTTTATTCATCTACCAAAGATCACAACACCAAGATTCCATAATTCTTTCAAAGGCCACACATACCACCAACGTCGACTTCGATTTAACGACAAACACTCATGCAAGGACCTGATTCCAGAGTATTGTTCTGAAAATGTGCTTTGAAGAATTTAAAAAATATGCTCTAAATTGCTCTCATAACAATCGTATAATACAAATATTTTCATGTTAAAAAGTTTATTGAATGGATATTATGTTGAAGGAGTTTTTTTTACAATATTTTTATATTAATTCAAGTTAGGTTATTCGACAATGAATGAAATGATTTTAAAGAAACAAAATTTGTTCACTATGCAAAAAGGGGTAGAAACATTAATTCTAACAAAATAAAATCTTTAATATCTAGAAGATCTTCAGTAATAGAACAAAAACAGTCAAGCGAACGAACTCTGCATTAGGAACTGCCACGGAATATAACCAACCAAACGATAAAATCTTGCCGAGATAAAACATGGACGTTAAGTTTCACGTTGGTCCGCTGGATGATGACGAGAAGTCAGGCGACGAACTGGAATCAAACCGCGATGAGGAACAAGAACTTCTCATCACGCATAAGCACAACAACGGCAATAACAAGAATAATAACAACAACAAGAGCAACAGTAGCAATAACAAAAATAATAATAACAAAAATAACAATGGAAAGTTTAACACATCATCTAATGTCATATGCAACGTTAATGCTTGTTACTCAGACAACGTAGGTAGTGATACGACAGTTAACATCGCAACAAATGAGCCGAAATACGAACCAGCAAGCCACGTGTTAAAAACCTTTGATGAATCGTCACATGGTAGAAAACTCATGCATTCCAAAATAAATGTTAGTGCAAGTTTTGATGAGAAGACCGAGAAGCGATCGAGCAGCAGCAGCGCAAGCGAGCCCAGCCACGACGACGATGATGACGAGATGGCCGCCAAATTCAAGAGCAATCCGAACTTAAGTGGTCGGCGAATTAGCAATATGAAAAAAAGCAATGCTGAAGCCTACGTTAATGTAAATGACAATTCAAAGAGCAACAACAGTGACAACATAAGCAACATCATCGTCGTAAACATCAGTGCAACCGGTAATAGCAAGGAAGATTTTTACAATGAAATTAATAACATTAGCGAAGGTGATTTAAACAAAGCAGAAAATTTCACACCATTTTTAAGAGCTACAAATAACACCAACATTACAAAAAACGGTAAATCAATCAACAACAATCACATAAACCACAAAATAGGGAAGGATAACGGTAATATGAGCGTTCCAACAATTGGCAATAAAGCCTTCATCCACAACAGCAAGTTGGAAAACTTAAAGAAAATTGGTCGCCAGAGTGTGGAATCTGAAATGGGCAAGCATTTCCTAAAGCCGAAACCTGATGTGAACATGCGAAAATGGAGTTTAACTTCGGCTCCAATCATTACAGTCAATGCATTTGAGGGCGATGAATCGTTCAGCACGAAGACGGCCGAGTTGCAGGCTATTTTTAACCGAAGGAGGTCAAGCAACAATGAACAGAAAGATGGAGAGCCCGCGACGAAAACAGACAAGAATTGTGAGGAAATAGAAAAGCATCAATCAGATAAACAATCGCAACGTAAAAAAATGTGGGTGGATTCGAACGATCATTCATTCAGGAGCAGGTTGGGTTCGGACGATAGCCACGATCAAACGTCTTGTTTTCCCAACAGTAGCATGTGGCTCCTATCCAGCCAGAGCCACGCTCACAGCACATCAATGACATCAACCGACGACAACGACAAGAACGACAACCAGTTCAATGGCAGCAGCAACAGACTGACAGCCGTTGCAAAACACTTTTTTCAACGTCGAAGGTCCCATCAGAACTGTCTGATCAACACCATGTCACCAGACGACGAAGAAATAATCACCTCAAACGCTAACAACAAAACGAAATTGACAAAAGACAACAAAAATAACAAAGACGAAAGAAATGGTAGCAAGAAGTCCAGTAAGCATAAGCCCAAACCGACGGGAATCGAAGCCATCTTGAGGCAGAGTTGTTCCGATGTCCGCAACCTTTTGGTCGGAGATGGTTCGCTGTTCTTCTCGGCAGGTGGAGGGCTGTCAAGTGGGGGGTTGTTCCAGAAGAACAGACGCCAGTCTACAGTGGGATTGTTTCAACCGGGTCCAAGAATATCACCACTTCCGTTCGAGCAGCATAATGGAACTCCGGGAATGCATATGAGGTTTGCAACTTCGCAATTTTGCACAGCCATCTAAAAATAGTTTCATTGAAAAACCATTCTATATTTCAAATTATTAAACAATTATATAATGAACTAACTATTCACAATAAAAAATTATATATGAAAATAAAATTTGTTATGAAATTTGGATGAGTTTGCATGTAAATTTCAAATATATAATGGTTTAGTCATTCTTAAAGTTGTAAAAAAATGCGAAGCGAATAAAAATTGCGACTTGTATATGACTATTGCATCAGTCCATCGTTTGCAAAAGAATAATGGCAAAACCACCAACACATTCAGGTTGAATTATTTTGGCGTACCATACATGATGGGACCAGCATTAACGTCAACAACATCATTAACAACAACGTCATCGATGACGTCATCAATTGCACCTGGCATGACTACCACAAACATTTCACCATTGCCTCAAAAGCTGGCAACTCCTGCAATCGTCTGCGACGGAGTCCTAACCGTTCCCTCAACTTTAGCTGATCAACAGCTCAGCAAAAACAACACTGACAATAACAACAACATCAGCAACAACACTGATAACAACAACAACAGCAATCAGCTGACAGTGAATTCTCTTGATGCCAACTTTCTGGCGCTGAACATGTTCGGCTCGCAACAGCAGCTTGTTGGGGTATTCATTATTTCATTGATTTATAATTTCTCTCCCCTTATACACAAAATAATAGACAGGCATACGATAGACAGGCTAGCAATAACTTTTACTCGGCAATATTTTGTTTTTATTTTGTTGTCTTCAGAAGGTTTGAGAGAATCGCATTTAAGAACAAAACAAATTTTTATAGGCCTTATTAACAAATTCGTGTAAAATGAACGAATTCGAAAAGTTGTAATAGATACATGTATTAAAAGGTTTGACGTATTCACCATTGTTCAATAATGACATCGCACGCAATTTTCATTAATGGTCAATTGAAAAAGTGCTGATACATATTATTTTTCAACTGACCACAATAAATAGATTTGTTTTTTACAAATTTTACGGTTCAATCATTTCACAAAATTTAGCTCATTTTAGTTTAATAATATCTACAAACTGAAACTTTTCATTTTAGATATTTTTTATTATAAATATACTTCATTAAACTTTTTGAAACACATATATGAAATAAATGTGTTATCTTGAAAATAGTGAAATTGATTTAGATAAGCACCGAAGTTTATTGTTCAAGTGAATTATGATTAAATTGATTAATTATGATCAGAAGAATGAATGCACTACAAATGAATTATGAATGCACAACAAACGAATTATGAATGTGCTACAAACGAATTATGAATACCCAACAAATGAATAATGAATGCAGGGTCAAGCGAGACGGAGGTCAGTGATGTTGACTCCTCGGTCAAGCTTCCTCGTAACCAATCAACCTTCTTTGGACTTCAGAGATTCAGATCTGAGCATCAACTACCCAAACTGCAACGGTCAGCAGTTGTTTTTGTTTTGTAGTTTGCTGTTGTACATTTTGCAACTAATATTTTTATGTTTGCACCTTTTTTGCAAATTTCATGACGTCATTTTTTATTACCTTTGATACCTAACTATGTGTGCTTAATAGTGCTGTTGTTGAGTTGATAAAAAAAATTTGAACCAGTTGTTAGCAGCACATTTGACAAATTGGAGCGTTTTAAAATGCAGTCATGATGGATTATTATTCATTGCTTGCTTTAAATGATTATGCGCGCGAGTCCTGTTGAAGAAAGAGAGCAACACACGCAGCTCAGGAGACCTGCCGAATGCTGGCTGGCTGGCTGGCTTGCTCGTCCTCACTTTCATTCTTATGAAAAAACTTTTTAAATGGTTGCACGTTTCAATTTGTTCTCTTAAGTTGTAGTCTGAGCGTCAGATACATATCAATGAAATAAAACTGTAGCTGATGTAATGAAATTGTCAACAGAGAATGTTCGCATAATTAGCAAAGTAATGAAATGATTGGTATACAAGGCAGGATCAATGAAAAAGTGTACCATTACTACAAGGATTACTGCACCATTAGCTTTCTAATCTTAGGGACTAAAAACTAATTGTGTCAGTAGGTAATTAACATATGCTGGAATATTTTTTTTTACTCTGCTTGGTGAAGATTAACGTGTAAACTTTTAATTATCTACGTTTTTTCCATTTTAAACATTGTTTAAACATTGAACTATGTTTTGCATTGAAATATTTTACTGTAGTAAACTTTTCAGAATAAACTTTTCATAAATTTTATTTGTAAAATTGCATTAAATTCAACGATTTTTTTTATAACTCATACACGCATAACAATAATGTTCGTAGAAAATTTCAAAATTTCATGCAAACAGCACTTAGCTGCTTCACGATGGCTTTAAGTTTATTGAGCAATTTCATTCTATATTTTTTCAATTTTCAAAATATTTGAAATGAAATTCTAGTTTTTTTTTTTATAAACATTTCCCAGATTCAAAATCACACTTTAAGTATAAAAATTACACCCCAACAAATGCCGATAGAAAAATTTTCTTGTTCTAAAAAATGTGTTACAGTGGAGATTTAAAAAATTAATTGGAAAGAAAAAAAACATGAAGCAGAAGACAGGAAATTAGAGGCAGCAAGCGGAAGTTGCATGAGAGTTGCCAAGTTAATCAAACCGTGTGCGTGGGTAATCTCCATTTTTGAAAAGTTATTCAAAACTTTCCTGGATTCATGAAATTTTTAAAAATAAATTCATCTAGTTCGAAATAAAATTACTTCATTTCAGCTATGTGCATGCAAGAAGTGTGGTAACTGTGGCTACTGTAGAGGCTGATATAGTGCGCTTCAAAAAATTAATTATTTTATTCCGTTCAATTGTATAAAAGTGTAAAGTTAAAATATCAATGCAAAAGCTCAAACATTTTTTTGGGGTAGCTAATAAAAGCCAGCTATTTTGTGCACTCTAATATTGGGGATGTAATAACCCTTTTATCAATTGGTATAACACTAAATCAAGGTCACTGAAATGTAGCGTCTTTGTTGGACTTAGATCATTATTTTTGAATACAAGTATGGCATGGCATGGCATGGAGAATTTATATAGCGCCCCTCTATGTAAAACTCAGAAGCGCTGTTCGAGAAGCTGCCGGTCAAAAAAGTGATGTTTAAGTCGTATTAATACATAGTATTAACAAGTATTAATAATTGCTATTGGGTTACAATCTACATTAAGATTACGGAATAAATTAGTTTTGTAATAATAAAGCTGATAATTTTATTAATTTTTAAAATATTTTATAAAATTAAATTATAAAATTACACGGTTATGTGCTCTGCCTTTGATCAATAATGTAAATCTGCTCGGAAATGAATTAAGTTTTTTGTTTAAATATCTTATTACATTGCGATCAGGGATTTGGCGATGTTACTTTGAATTTGACGGGCGTAGTGTGAACTGACGACCATACTCTGTTTCGGTTGGCATCATTTGGATTGTAAAAAATCTGGCTCTCAAAGTCATTTCTATAAAATTATAATGGATCTTGTCTTGAAAATGCACTCTAAAAAATGTACCTGATTCAATAAATATTGTTGACCAAAGGATGTCGTTTAACCGTTTGAAGCATTTTGTTAAAATAAAACTAAGGACTTTGGTGAGCTACTTTGCCAAGATTGAGTCAGCTTAATGATGCTAACAATTTTGTTGTTTTTTCACGCATGTTTGTCAGTGGAAAATGTTTGTCGGAAACTTTGAAATCAACCATCAATTGATTTTGAGTAATGAGGACAAAATTGTTGTGTTGTTGCAGGTTTATTTCTCGATATGTTGATACGTTGTTGTTGATCCTCACCTCATGTTACTGTTGTCTGCTGGTTGGCGATAATGATGCGTTGATCGTTGATGTTTTTTTGGGGATCAATAAATAACCAGCTTTCTTTGTTAGTGTGAATGTGAGCTAGCCGTCAGATGATACATTTATGAATGACGTCAACATGATTTTTTTAAGTTCAAGGCCATTATACTGTAATCATCATAAAATTTATTATCAATTCGATGTAATCTTCCTTTATGATAATCAGTTTTTTACAATCATCATCGTTTTTGTATGATCATAAACATCACTATCATCTAGTATCATCAATATTATTTTTACATCTTCATAGTCATCATCATACTTACTTTTTCATAATAACCAACATCATCATTATTTAAAAATATCAAAATCACCTCAAAATATATTTTCAATCAGCTAATTTTATTTGGCTAAATCACATTTTTAATAGTCTAACTAATTCTAACCTGTCAAAATGTTGGCTGTTCCGGTGAAAATTGAAACATTTCCCAATCAAATTTGTTGTGAAAATGCTCCCTTTTGGTCGTCAATTTGTATTAGAAAAACTTTCCCTTCCCGATCTGCTTTTAAATTTGAAAATCCTCTCTTTGGTCGTCAAATATTTGTCTTGAAAATCTTGGCAATCTTGCCCCCCTCCGTCAAAGAGTTGTTTATATTCTGAATATTACTGTTATCGAAAAGTTTGATTTAACCACCCTTCAAAAATATAAAATGACTAAATAGATCCACGTAATTATAACTGAAAAGTTTCAACTTTAACTGAACGCTTGATAAACCAGACCAACGCCGCGTTGTTTCTTGCCGATGTTTGTTAGAGATAAGCTCTATCATCGTGGCAATGCTATTTTATGATTACAATTAACACGCTCGTCAAAGTCTGTTTATTTCAGTTTCTATCATTTACTTACTTTTTTGATGAAGTCTTTTGAAAGTGTCAGTTTCTACTCGCCGGTTTTCGCCTACCGATTGTTGCCATCATTCCATCATTCCGATCAAACCTTTACAATGATTGTTAATGCCTGAATTGTAATTTTCTTCATTTTAAATTATAACAAAATAAATTATTTTCAAAACGTTTTTATCTCATTCATTTTTATAAATTTTATTATTATTATTATTATCTCTCTCATCCTTCTCTTCTTCTTCTTCTTCTTCACAATTTTTCGTTCATTCATCATCATCATCACCGCCACCATCATCATCACCATCATCATCCAACATCTTCATAGCATTTTCAACGATCGGATCGTCTTAATATCATTGTCAGGAGCAGCGCAAATAAACCTGGCAAAAGGAAACAAAAGAGGAGTGGCAAAGAAATGATGCGGGGAAAGATGGACAGCGTCACATTTCATTTAAACGGCGTCGGAAATATTTTTCATAACAGGACGAATGACGTTGAAGATAAATAAATTGAATGAACAAATCAAATATTGACCATCCTTCGCCATTCCAACATACGTTCAACTCGAGTTTGTACTGCAAAGTGGCCTGGTTTATCAAAATGGTGTACACACTGCACCGTCATGTTGAAAACTGTGCAGTTCCATGCGTTGTGTTTCAAATTCATGAATGATGACATCAAAGTGCTGGCTCTCTGTTGGCCTGAACTTTTCGCGAATCCGTCATCATCAACTTCATCATCATTATCACAATTGTCACATCTGCTTCGTCGCCATTACATCATCATCATTAGTTTATAATCACCAACATCAAACTCTTCTTCATCATCATCAGTGCCATCATCATTATTACCATCATTATCAGTACTATCATCATCAAACCATCATCATCATTACTATCATCATCAAATCATCATCATCAGACCATCATCATCAGTACCATCATTATTATCATCAGTGGCGTAGGTAGAACTTTCTTTGGAGTAGTGCGGGCATACATTTGTTTAAAAATTTGAAAACTATTTATCCATTTACAAGTAAATAGATGAATAGGCAGGCAAACAAACCGTTGAATAAATAAATAAAATAAATAAGAAATAGAATAAATATATAAAATAAAATAAATAAATGAATGAATAAATATGTAGATAAATAAATGAATGAATAAGCAAAGAACTGAACTGTAAGTCAGTCCTTTGAATGCCATGCTCTTTGAACCATGCCAACATAATAAAGGCTTGCAGTGCCGTTAAATAAAAAAAAAAGATAACACGTAAACTTTCAAGGAAGAGACATTCAAATAAAACAAAAATACAAACGCATGGAAAGACAATAACAATGTTAGCAACTGCAACATCAAAGATGTTAGAAAAACAACATCTCATCAATTTAGTTAGAAAATTAACATCACAGTAATAACATTAACAAATACATTAACTCGTGAGAACAAAATAATGAAAACACAAAACATCAGTAAAGCCTAGTCTACAGAGATTTTCTCTTTCGTGCATAAATCGACGCCATTAAAGTAATAAATGTTATCACATACATAAATGTTCAACAACTGAAAGGTTTGAGTTAGCACTCTATCTTGGTTGGAATAACACGTCTGTATGAAAATTTTTGAAAAAAAAATGTTGGAAAAAAGGAAAATAAGCAAGAGAAATCTTTAAATATAAAATGTAAATCTTTATCCAGTGAATGTGCTGTTGTGTGAAGCATTCAAGAATTTATTTTCTACATAGTTTTCAAGTTTGTTTTGTAAGTTTTTTATTTCTGGTACAGCCAGCGTACATATGTATAAGAAACACCTTTCAAAGTTTACAAACGTAAGTTCAACCAATACATTGAAAATTATTTGAGCAGTCATTCATCTTGCACATACTACAATAAAATAACACAAACTTCAAATAGTTGGGTAAGCTGAATGCAGATAATGATGTAGAAGAAAACAACTGCCAGTGCAAACGTTGAATCATTTAATACGTTCTACTCACAATAGAACTGTCAATCATTTCTCCCTGGGCTATTCACGTGGAAGAAGTGAATTAACATGAAAACTTCAGCATATGAACAATGATTAATGGCAGTGATTGGGTCGATGATAATGTAATGATCATTTTCTGATGCTGACAATGAAACTCTGTAACGCCAACTGCTCTAATACATCCGTGCTTAAATACCTTCTTATTCGCCAAAAGTTGACTCAAATTCCTTTATTTAGTATTTGTACAAAAAGTGATAAACTTTTCTTCTAAGTACCTTTCTTGCTTCTTCTATTATCATTTTCAGATAGATGTCCATAAAAAATTTTTCCAAATATTGTTAATAACTGCGTGATGTTGACGATGATTACAGGAGAGGAGTGCTCCAGGTGATGCTATCATAAAATATATACTGATAATAATTGTCTTTTTAAGTAAAATAATTCTTTACTGTGTTCAGTGTTTCTGGTTATAATGAAAACTCTAAACATAAACATAAAACATAAAGAAATGATGGACGCGTAAAAGTAATGAATAATGTCAATTCACAAAATGTAGGCACGTTTCAAAAGGCGAATGTTGGTCATTGTGAATGTTTGACTGAATGGTCGGGAAGGAATTTATAAAAATGTTGTTTTAGTTGGTGCTACATCTTTCGATAAATACATTTTGACAATTTTATATTCAACTTAGTAATGTTTTGCCACAAATCCCATCAAAAAATTTAATTATTATTTTTTTGAATTGCATAAACATGTGATATTGATTGAAGTTCGTAAATTGAAGCGTGCGGAAAAAATTACATTTTCAGAATTAAATAAAAATATGGGCTTCCAATCGATTGACACCTAAAAAATTTTCTCATTTATTCTCTTGTATCGCGCATGGTTTGGTGATGCATTCATTCATCCATTTGTTTATTCATTCATTCATTCATTCATCCATTTGTTTATTCATTCATTCATTCATTCATTCATTCATTCATTCATTCATTCATTCATTCATTCATTCATTCATTCATTCATTCATTCATTCATTCATTCATTCATTCATTCATTCATTCATTCATTCATTCATTCATTCATTCATTCATTCATTCATTCATTCATTCATTCATTCATTCATTCATTCATTCATTCATTCATTCATTCATTCATTCATTCATTCATTCATTCATTCATTCATTCATTCATTCATTCATTCATTCATTCATTCATTCATTCATTCATTCACTCATTCATTCATTCATTCATTCATTCATTCATTCATTCATTCATTCATTCATTCATTCATTCATTCATTCATTCACTCATTCATTCACTCATTCATTCATTCATTCATTCATTCATTCATTCATTCACTCATTCATTCATTCATTCATTCATTCATTCATTCATTCATTCATTCATTCATTCATCCATTCATTCATTTATTTCGTTCGTTCATTTATTCCTTCTTTCATTTTTAATTCTGGATGGCGAAATAGTGTAATGGTTAGAGGCGCCTGATCTCAGGTTAAAACGACTGTGTTCGAACCCCGATCCTGACCCAACATTGAATGTGCGTGCGATGCATTGATTGGCGTGTACTGTATTCAGATGTGGTGTCAGTGTTGTGGTGTCTTTTGTGGTGGTGTCTTTTAGTTATGGATATCTTTTAGTTGTTGTTATCTTTCAATTATTGATACCCTCATGTTTCACGATGAGAACGAACAAGCATTATCATCATTTGCCTGTATTTTTTTATTCCGACATTTGATTGCTTATTTATCTTTTTTTTTATCTAATTTTACATTCATCTAGTTTTTATAAAAATTTCATAAATAATGAAAAATATTGCATGTTATAAGACATACACATTTGACACATTGACACATTTTCAACGATAACAATTTTCATTTATCAGAGTTTTCATATTAACTTATTAATAAAGAGCCGAGCGGTGAATCTGTTCATACGAACCAACCTGTAACGCAACATGAGGCGCCTCTATCACGTTATTTCAACACAAACGAACAAATGAAAAGTGGGAATGTTCTAATTCTGAAAATGTTGACATGTACAACAAACGTTCATATTGCTCATACATCTGCTGCCTGCCTGCCAATCCATCGCGAAACATGCAGGCAGCCATCGCGAAGCTTCCAAGCAGCCATCGCGAGACATTCAGGCAGGCAGGCAGGCAGGCAGCATGTTCAATTGTTCAGTGAAATGAGGAAAGGATTGAGAGGTAGTGCTTCCAGGAGATAAGCCAAGTAAATTGCTAACTGTTTGACAGATCGGATGAATTAAAAATTAATTTGAATTTTGGTATTTTAACAATTTTTAACAAATTTGAAACGTAAAAATTGAGTTGAGTCAATTTTGAAACACTATATATTTCCTTGAAGTTTGAAACCTCTAAGAAACGTTTTGTTGTAATGGTGAAGGTGCCTGTCTTGCTGATACACCCCGCATATAACAAGCAGCGTATGAGGATATCGTATGCGTCCCCACGTGCTGTGTGCTGTTCGTCTTTCAGAACAACACTATCATCATAATAATTATCATCATTAAAATAATTATCATCATAATAATTATCATCATTAAAATAATTATCATCATAATAATTATCATCATAATAATTATCATCATAATAATTATTATAATAATAATAATTAATAATATAAACGGTAGTAGTAAAAGTAGCGAGCGACGAATTTTACATTTTGATTGAAAAGTTAAAAGCACCTACTCAATACAATAAGTAGAGCTAGTTTCACAGAGCCTCTCCAGCTATATAATTCATACAGCAGTTTCTCAATGGTTCTCTTTTATTTCTTATACTTTCTGAGATTGCGAATGAGTTATTGTTTGACGCACAGAAATATTCGATTGCTTTTTGCATCATCATCATTATCATCTTCATCATTATAATTATTATTATAAACATTATCAACATCATCATTATCATCATAATCATCCTCGTCATCATCACCATCATTATTGTCATCATCATTATCATCGTCCTCCTCATCATCATCATCTTCTTCATCATCAGTATCATTAACACAATAGCCATAGTTATCACCACCAACATCATCATTGTCTTACGGTACGGAGAGTGTATGTCTGCAAATAGACTAAAACTCAACAAAAATAAAACTAAATACATGTGGCTTGGTAGCCAGCAAAGATTGCAAAATGTGGATGATCCCAATGAACCAGTTGTTGATCCAGGGGTCCTTCTTGCTCCAGGCCTTCTTATGGGAGATTATGTGGAAGGTCTCCGTCAACTATCCTTTCATCAGCTTCATAAAATAAGAGAGATCAAACGATATCTACAAGAACTTTGTTGGGCAGCCTTGTTCGTACTTAGATTGATTACTGCAGCTTAGTTTGGCACGGTGTGGAGAAAAGTCAACTGGCATCCATTCAATCGGTTCTAAGGTCTGTCGCTGGATTACTCACTCGAGTCTCTGAATTTGACGGCGTCTCTGATTACAGGAAGAATGAACTTCATTGGCTATCAGTGGAAAATAGAATACTATTTAAAATAGTTCTCATGGTAAAAAAAACAGTCAAACTGGAAAGCCCAACCAACTTGAAGGAGATGTTGTATTCAGTTTCGAGTGATTCTGAAAAATAGATTAAGATAGGCAAAGCACGGAAATCTTGTTTGCCCTTGGTTCAAGAAAACTTATGTTGCAGCAGCCAATACAACACAATACACTACAATACAATACAATACATTACAATACGATACGATACGATGTTATACGATACGATAAAATACAATATCGTTTGGTATTTGAGTTATTCCAATTTATTCATCATCATTCCTCACTACAAACCGCCGTTAATACGAGCATCAACATCACTGCTGTTGTTTTTTATCATCCTCATCGTCATCATCAGTATTTTCATTTTTACGTTGTTGTCGTCGTCATCATCATCGTCATCATCATTATCATCATCATCATCATCAGATTTTGATTATTATTTAAAATGCTTCTTTTGAAAGAATCTGACTGGCCATTAAAAATTGCGGCAAGTACCTACTTAATAACTGGAAAGATTGATCGAACGTGTTTAATGAGATGTCGTCTTCTAATTCGTTCAAAGATACTGATGATGATAAAAAGGATGATGGTGATGTTGATGATGGTGATGATGTTAAGGATGATGAAGACAAAAATGATGAGGGTGATGATGATGGTGATGATAACAAAAATGATGATGGGTGATGTTAATGTTAATGTTAATGATATAAGATATAAATAATGATTAAGAGAAAAAATTATAACGGCACACAAATAAACACAAGAAAAAGACAAATTAACCAAATAATGTTACAAAATCAGGGCATAGATGAAGCGATCACTTGAATGACTGCAAATTGTTAACACGGCTGAAATCTGAAACATTTTAATGGATATGCAAAAAGATCACGATACGAAATAATGCATTAAAATATCTCATTACAACAATGTAAACAAAAAAAAAAAAAAAAAAAACCGATAAGGTACTGAAACGAAACGATCCGTGTTTTCAAAGAATGTCAGTCAGGATTATATGGCTGATAAGAGAAGCGGAAGTAGAAGAAAGACACTTAATAGAAGAAAGAGTGATGAGGATTATGAGGCGGATACTAATGAGCAAAAAATGATGAAAAGAAAGTAAAAAAATGTAAAAAAAATATGACAAAAGTAAAATTCAGTAGATAACAATGAGGAAAGTAATTATATTGACTGGTGAAAATACGGCTGGTGAAATATTTTTGTGAAATTTTATTTAATGAGCCGGAGTTTTATGCGCGCAGAAAAAATACAATGAGTTTGTAGCCAGTATTTATGATGGTGATGTTGATGAAGAGGGTGATGAGCAAGGATGATGGTTATTATTATTATTATTACTAATTTTATTATGTCAGGATGATGATGACGATGAATTCGTTAGGATGGTGATAAAAATGATGCGGATTAAGTTATGATGAAAATGATTACGTTATGACGACGACGATGATGATGATGATGATGATGATGATGATGATGATGGTGGTGGTGGTGGTGGTTATGTTATGACGATGATTAATAAAAATGAACCAAAAACTGTTCTGTAAATATTGCAATGTCAATGAAACTGATGATGAAAGTGATGCTGATGATGATAATTTTGGTGATGGCTCTGATGAACTTGGCAGTAGCGAGTTGAAAATGATCATGATGACATCAATGACATCATTAGTGTTTTCTGAACTGAAAAGATTTTGAGAGGTGCATTTATCTCAATCGATCCTTAATTGGTTGGCTGGTTGGTTGGTTGGCTAGTTGATTGGTTGGTTGGTTGGTTGGCTGGTTGGATGGTTGGCTGGTTGGTTGGTTGGTTGGTTGGTTTGTTGGTTGGATGGTTGGCTGGCTGGTTGGTTGATTGGCTGGTTGGTTAGTTGGCTGCTTATTTGGTTGGCTGCTTATTTGGTTGGCTGGCTGGTTGTCTGGTTGGTTTGTTGATTGGTTTGTTGGTTGGCTGGTAGGCTAGCTGTTCGGTCAATTGATTAGTCGGCTGGTTAGTTAGTACACTTACCCCTTATTTCAATCTAGTTTGCACCTCACCTCTTTCACGTTATCATCAAAATTTTCCAATCTTACAACGTTTCTGTATCTCTAAAAATAGAATCACAACTTTACAAAAAAATGTGTACATTAAAATTTTTCGATAACAGAAAATTTAACACTATTAAAACCATCATAGAATCAAAAACTAAAAAATTATAAATTCAGTTGAATATTTCTTCACATGGTGCGACAAAAAACTGAACATTAACACAACTTGAAGAAAGAAAAAATTTCCAAACTCAACTTGAATCAAACAGAAAAGCATTCTAACATGAGAAGAAACATTTCGCGAGCACTCGATTAGGTAGGCTTACACACTGGACCGTTTTCTGTTACAAGAAAAAATCTGGTTGGTATTACGAGGGTTAATCTTGTTACACGGAATTTAAAATCTGTCATTACTAAAAAAATGGTTAAGCAAAAATCGATTGTGCTTTTTTATAATTCCACTGAAATTCAACAATCGGCTTTTCTGGAAAATTTTCCAACTAAAAAATACAACAACTACAAAGCAATGATGTGCTACACAGTCTACAACAACATAATATTGCACCAACAGCAGCAACCAACAAAAACAACAACTGCAACAAAACAAAACAAAACTACAAGAAGACAATTTGAATGGAGCAGCGGAGGCGTTAATTTGAAATGATGGTGCCTAGCATTTCGTTTCATTGATGTTTCTCATTCGTACGTCATTAACATCAAAAGACTTGCAAATTTCTACCATTTGATGTTGCTAATCCAACCTGACGTTATATTTTTTTAATTATCTTCCACCGTATGCAACAAGGTGTCTTAAGATGAAAACCTCAGTTCCTGCTTTGCACTGACAGGGTTCAAAAGCAGCGAGATCTCATTTCATTTGCAAATGTGTGGGATGCGTTCATTCACGTGTAGGCCTAGGTACTTGTTTATGCATTGCAACCAGGGAATAATCAAGCAGCAACAATAACAGTATGAAGTTTTATTTACACTTTTCCTCAATATTGTAACTTTCATTACATTGGAACGTCACGTTCTTTCAATTGGCTTCCAAATATTTTCTCAAAAACTCTGATTCATTTTAATACGCTTAATTATTTTCATACAACTTCAGGCTAAAATCATTTTTTCTAACAAGGCAGCTCAACGCGATATGTGATCCAGCGGGGTTGCAATTGGTTCACAATTCATCATAAGCAGAATTTCTTGTTTTTACATTAATTGCCTTCGTGAAAAATTTTAATAATCCTACTTATTGCATTTTTTCGTTCTCTTTTGTTGTACATAATGAACACTTTCGCGAGAAAAAAACTTATTTTTGAAAAGAGAATAACTTCAGTGTTGAACTTTTTAACAAATTTTTGAAACACTTATATTATTTTAAATTTCATATTTTCTAAAAAAAAAAAATAAGAAAGCCATAAGAAGTGAAATAAAAGCAACACAGGAGCACGCAGAACGCACGCACGCACATCACGTTCGATGCCCATGCAAATTTTGCAGATGCCAAATTAATTTCAGTTTCAATAACCCCTATTAAATCGCTCCTCATTCGTGTTTGGTTGGAGGCAATTTGTTTCGTAGTAAGAATACTTTGAATACTCAAAAATCTTTATGATACTAGTTTCATAATAAAAATTCTTAAAATGCCTAAGAGTATTTAGGTTCAAATATAATCAAGCCACACATTGGCATGGCAGTATAAAAATTTCAACTATCCAAAATCAACTTCTCTAAAACAATTTTTGGATTCAAAGTAAATTAAACAGTAACTATTTTTAAAAAAATAATAAAATATCTTATTATTTAATTTATTTCGTTCAATTACTTTATAAATACAATTCAGTAGACAAAGTACTAGTCAACTTTGGTAATTCATTAAAAAAGTGATGGTTGACTATGTTTGCAAGAAAATAGTTTTTATGCAGAAACATTTGTTATTAATTTTAATGATGAGTTTTAACGTTACATGAAACATGAAACATGATTCCTTTGAACATTTCCTTATCGGTTTCATCCAGTGCCTCTTCGTTTGGTAGCAACAAAATGACTAGTTATTTGTTTACGTAGTTCTTTGTTGTAATTACCGAAATGTTCCGATTGCTTAAAATTCTGAAACTTTTGATTTGTTATTTTAAAAATTTAAATAGATATTAAATGGCGTGGGAATTGTTACAAGTTGTGAATGGCATCTGATTGACGGAGGAACTATCAGTAGTGTCATTCATTCACCAGTTGACATGCCCTTGGTCTTTTCTGTTTGTTCATTCGTTTGTTTGTTTGTTTGCTTGCTTGTTGTTAGTACACACACTTGGAAAAATGTGTTCATCCTCGACTAATCACTCTTATCAAATGCGTCAAAATTACTAGGCGTATTACAGCTACGACAAGCGCAATTCAACAAATAAATTATCCTTCACTTCGATTATTTTCCTCTTCATAGTTTCCTCATTGTTAATTTGGTTACAATGAAACTTGGGATGTTGATGTACATTCGAATTTGTGATATGTACGGTAAACCGTAATGATTCATTTTGTATGCGTGTGATGGTCTATAAATTTTGGTTTGTAGATGGTTTGAAACCAGGCCATCGAGCACTACTACAATGCGGGACATGCCCGCCATCCAACCGTCAGAGCTAGCACACCAACTGTTGCTAGTTTTAGAATCACATGATCAATAAATAGTTTCTAGACTTCATGTAAATGAGTCTTTTTAGTATTCTGTTTATGTAGAATTTTCAATTAAAATTATTCTTTATATCTATATTCTTTATATTAAATTCAGTTAAACGACGCTTCGGTATTGTTTAATCCATCAATATAAATAAATAAATATATATATAATATATATGTGTGTGTGTGTGTGTGTGCGTGTGTGTGTGTGTATGTGTGTGTGTGTGTGTGGTGTAGGTCAGTTCTATTCCTATGTGTCAGCAGAACACTTGTCAGCGTGTATGTATTTCTTATGTTGAATGTACTTTCTCACTTTCTCTCATACACCCGCACACACATGAACGCACACATTTAAAATGTTTGCTAATATTTCCTCAAGCTGGTTGATGGAAAATTCAAATGTGCATCATTTGAATTGCAAACCTGATCATTTATCATTTTTTCATATTGAAAACATACAAACAAATAGGCAAGCAAGTTAGTTACGTACATATGCAGTATGCACTGTACATATTCAAACACATTTTTATAATTTGAACTTATGGTATAATTGTTTCTAACAAAAACAGGCGACGCAGGTCTCTGTGTATTTATGTATTTATGCGTGTATTTTTGCATGTACTTAATGAGTGTTTTTGAAAATTTTGAGGTTTTTATTGTTTATTATTTTATTGTTTCGTGATGAAAATGTTTCAACACGTTCATACTCATGTTAACATATTTACATAAGTATTGTTGTATGCTTATGCATATGCTAACATACCTGCCTGCATACAACCAACTGATACACACATACTTACATACCTATCAACACACGGTGACGTACTAATGTGCTTCAAGTCATGTTCCATCTCCTCCTCCTCCTCCTCTATATTTTGCGCTTTCGCTTTTTGACATTTGGTTCGGCACTGTTCAAACCGGTGAAGCGTTAAAGATAAATTGTTAATTTTTGGTTTTCGACTTTTCATGGGATTCATTTTTTACGGCCTCTATTTGTTTTTTAGACGGAAAATGATTTATGGATGGATTTTTTACACAAATCTCGCGGACGGAGGTTTTTTTTGTTTCCATGCTGGATGGAAAATGTTGAAATAAGAAGTTGTAGAACAAACTGGACTTTGTAGTATCTTCTTATTTTTGCGTTTTGTTGGCCTTCTTCTTCGCTTCCGCCAACTGAGAAAAGAAATCTTTCTCACGTCTCGTCGATCAGATCTTCAAACAACATCTTCATGCTGTGTCCTCCCAAATTGCAGCCAACCATATTCTTTATGATAAGAGTAATCTTATAATTTGTTACGATGATGATGATTGTGATTGTGGAGAAGAAGATGACGATGTTGGTAATGTTGACAGTGATATTTGTAGTAATAAAATATTAAAAAATATATTATATATGTCAAAATTTACTTCAACGATGTCGATTTTTATTTAGAACATTGAAAAACAAAAAAAAATGTCTTTACAAACAATAAGCTCTCGAAAAAAACGTTTTACATTGGTAGTAATGAACAGAAATAATCGCATTTGCACTGGCATGTTGCCTCGCCACCGTGCTCACGTTCCAGGTACAAAACTGAGTTTAGAAAATTCATTAAATTTTTGTGCATGCATTGCGCATTGTGCATGCTGCAAAGGACTGTAAATTGTGCTTTCGAATGAGTTGGCTGAGATTAATGTGGGTGACTCTCTCTATGTGACGATACCATCTCTTGAATGCCGTTCGTTCCACCGCAGATCATTTGAACATTTTTTTTGCACACACACACACATTAAAAAAAACAAGTTTACAAACAAAAGACCTACTTTGTTGAGCATGTATAAATTCGTTTATTTATACAGGCATGAGAAGCGTAGTTACAGAAGAGGTTTATGATCCAACATGTCTTTCAGCATTTACAACATACAACATTAACAACATATGTATATACGTACATATTTAAACGTACAAATTTCATGCATACATAATTCCCATACAAGTGTTGTACGTATGCATGAGTGTGTGTATTTATTCAAAAATGGAATGCACATACATAAGTTGTAAGCACTCACGCATGCATGTGCGTGATAGTATGAATGTCTTCATACGTGATGAAACAACGTTAAGTTGATAGCAGACAGGAAATGTGGATTGACTGCTGCGTCTACAACATCTTGCATGTACATGTGCCCTCCAGGACCAATTAGCTAATTAACGCAGATTCTATTTATAAACACTCAATTCGTATATACGTGACTCATGTTGTTTTTGTTTTGGGTTGTTGTTTTTGTTTTTTGTTGTCGTTTTGCTCTTGCAATATTTATCATGTTCGTGTCGTTAAATCACGTAAATGATGTGATGCGATTGTTATTGTTTTGATGACAGTAATGTTTCCATGATCGCAGGTGCCATTCCTGCCTGCAGATGAAGCAAATTTGACTATTTAACTTTTCTATCAGATAAGCATAAACGACGATGTAACGTTTTGTTTGCATGGCTTTTAGAAAAGTTTTTTTAAAATTAATCCTGGCTTTTAAAAAAACTTTTTAAAACTAATTAAAATCTTTTTTATTTAGTTTTTGTATTTTCTATAAATTTTACTTATTTTAGTGTTAATAAAAGTAATGCGACTTTTCACTTGAAATTTAAAATATTATTTTAAAGAATCATTCACTAGTCGTTTAATAACTTTTTTTATGAATCAATCTGTGAAAGAGACAACGTTGCTTTGCAAATCAATATTTGCTGCTTCTGACTTACATGATAAATAAGATTTCAATTTATAAACGAACGATTAGAAGCCAAGCGTAAGCCATAAAACACACGCAGACCACACACACACACACCGCACACACGCGTGCGCGCGCACACACACACATACGCACACAAACAAAAACACACGGTGTTATAAGATATGTATGTATGTATGTATAAAAGATTGAAGGTATGTATTGTTGTGCCAATACTTGGGTGAATCAATAAAAGAATTAACTTCATATATATTTGATGGATTGAACTTTCAAAGTTAAAGTCACTTTACTTGTTTGACATTCACATGCAAACGATGCCGACATGCATCTGATGAAGCACTTGAATTTTCAAACATACGCAAAAACTGTGTTTGAAAATTATATTAATCCTCTCCATTCTAATTTTCCCTGTAATTAATTTCAAATTATCATTTTTAATTTAAGAATCAAAATTTTAAACTCTTTTCAGTTATACGCATGAATTGAATGTGAAAATATTCAAAATGATCCTTCATTTGATGAAACCAAACAGATTAGTTAACATTACAACCAAAATAGCATGCAGCAATGCAACAGGTAACAGGTAAATAGGTGTTCAATAACTTGGTGCAGGCACATGCTAACATGAGCGCGGCATGAGGTTGGATGAGTTTGGCGGCTGTACCAATTCAACAATTTAAATAAAATAAATATTTAACACCGAAATTTCCCAATAGAACATTTAACATGAGCCTATATGCCAAAATAGATTTTTTATGAAAACTTGTATTGTTTAAATATTACATATTTAGCTGGAGATCGACAGCTTATCTCTTGGTTGTTGTTAACACTCATGAAGTCAATTGTTTTTTTAATTAATATTGTAATTGTTGACATTAAAAAAGTTGTTTTTGTTTCAACTTAAATTCAAGTTATTATTAATAATGATTCATTAGATTTTTATTTAAAGCACGGATGCAAACAGCAGCCCCGTATATCAACCTAACAGAAGAATAGTTGTGTTCGCAGTGACGGATCGTTGGCTGCATGCTGCTTTCAATCATTGTATTGTTCGAAATCAATCCATTGTGGTTGTTGCTGCTCTTGAAGCGAATGACTGACGACATGTTGCAGTGACCGCTCATTAACCTGTTGCACGCAAGATAGCAGCCAGTGACGTGATTGATGGAAGCAAGCATTTTTGCCTTCCAACGGTCAGGACTTCTTAAAATGTGCTCGCCTGCATGTTCTGTGCGTGGAAATATATTTTTGTTGGTCCTGTAGTAGCCGAACTATAAAATTTCTTTTGAAAAGATTCTTGACTCCTCCGAGTTTTTATCGTTACATCAACCCTGAAATTGATATTTCTACACTAGAGTTATAATAGCTACTTTATTAAATTTAGTTCTTTGAAAGCTAAAGTCATTAAAATGTTTGTTCCAAAACTGTCAGTTAACATCTTTATGGGCGACTGCAGTCAAAAATTCATGAACATTTGGTTTACTTTTTTCTGTTGAGAACATATGAACGCGTGTTCTGTTGAAGTTAATTGTTTGAATACTTTGAAAGCTTTCACGCGCAAAAAACAAAGTTGAAGAGAGAGAGAGAGAGAGAGAGAGAGAGAGAGAAGGAGGGAGAAAGAGGAAGGTGAACAAAACGAACAGCAACGAGGAGTTTTCAGCATTAATAATGTACACGGCCAATATTTCAGCATTAGCGTGGGGCTTTCAACAATTCTTCAAGCTCCTTCACTCAGCTATGACACCTCGCACATTCCCGCTACGTTTCAACACTTCATTATTTTTGTGTACCGAGGAACTTTTCAAAAATATTTTTGTTTTAATTCTTTAATTTTTTTATTTGAACACGCTCAATAAAAAAACGTAAACTTTTACTGCGTCCAACTTTTTAAATGATGATAGTGATGATAGTGACAAAAGATGTGATGATGACGATGATAGTGGGTGCTATGTTGTTTTTCTACTAATTATACTGTATTGAATTTTTTGAGATTACAAATTTAGCATCGTTATTATTTTTTAGTGATATATTATAATGTACAAAAGATAACATTATAATAAAACTATCTAAAATATTCTAAATTTAGATTTAGAATGTCTACACTTGTGTCAGGTAGCATAAATCCAACCAAGTTTTCTGACCATCGTAAGAAGAAATCAATCATATAGAAACATGCATGTCTGAACCGCACACACACTCACACACACTCACACACACACACAAGCAACATTTCAACCTCCCACCTTGCACAACTTCATCGATTGGACAGCAGATGACCTGCATAAAATTGCATCACTTGGACAGGACAGTCCTCTTTTCACGATCTTCGACAATGAGACGATTGATTTGAAAGAATATTTTGTTAAAAAATGGAACCTGAATGTAGCAGTCACATGCTCAAGCCACTGATTAAATAAATAACGTCCAATTATCCTATCGGAAAGAAGTTCTAAAAAGTTTCGTTGGCGCTACTAGAGAAGTTACCCAAACTTCTGCTTAGCGTGGGAATAAAACATACAATGGTTTAGCAAGCATAAAACAATATACATCATTGCAGTATATACAATTATACAGTTGAATGCGTGTATACAAAAGATGTATTTACACAGACACACACATACAAACACACACTAAAACACACACACACACACACACACACACACACATATATATATATATATATATATATATATATATATATATACAGAAACAAGCGTTTCTGTACAAACAAACAAGCGTTTGAAAACATATGAACGCGGAATAATGTGCTTTGCATAAACGATCAAATCTTATCGACACATCTGGTCAGTGTCATTAGTGTGACCATCATCATCATCATCATCATCATTATCATCATTATCATCATCTTCTTCATCATCATCACGACATGATATATTTTGTTTTTAACATCACCTAAAATTTCCCGCCAAAGATTTCATGTCATCATTATCATGACAGAGCAGCCAACAAGCAAACAATCATCATCATAAACATTCCCCTAATGATCTGCTAAGCTTCTCATTGTCGTTGTACGTTCACGTTGTATGTTGTTGTATGTTAGTGTTTTAGTTGTTGTTGTCGTTACTGTTGTTGTTCTGCTGTTGCTGTTATGGTTTGGCTGTTTTTTTTTGTAGTTGTATATTAAAGTTTTAGTTGTTGCTTGTTTGTAGCTGCTTGTTGTCTGTTTGTTTGTTTGTTGTTGTTTGTAAATGCTGTTATTTTTTTATTAATTTTTTTGTTGTGTTAATGTTTTTATTGTTGAAATTCGTTGTTGTATCTGAGTTGTATGTCGTTGTTTTTGCCACTATTTTCTATTATGTAGATTTTATTACTTGCTGTTTTTTGGTTGTTTTCTGTTGATGTTGTTGTTGTTGATGATGCTGTTGTTGTTGTTGTCAAATGCTCTCCTCCTCATCGTCGTCGTCAGCGCTTTTAAATTTTTCAACGAAGTTTAAATTGCCATCTCATTATTGCAGACTGATCTGCTTGAATGGAACGGTTTGTAAGGAACGCGCAAAAGTTGTTAGCGGATAATGAAAGAGGTTCGAGGTTGAAATTTTATTTATTTTGTGTAGCGTGTGTATCTGGGTGGACGTACTTACTTGATCCTTCTTGTGTGTGTGCATGTATATGTGCATGCACGTATGCATGTTTGTATGCATGCATGCATGTATGCATGTGAATAGGGGAGACTGGGGTCGAATGGACCAGGTACCGAAAGGACCTTCGAAATTAAAAATAGTAAACATGCGCTAACATTTTTTTAAAATTTAAATTCATATACGTCTCTTGGCTTTCTATAACCAGATGTAAATTTTATTAAATGTTTTTAGTAGCCGATTTAACTGTTTCACTTTTCCTTTTTTTGCGAGAAAAAGTGAAATATTCGTCTGTTTCTTTTTGAGTGTTTTAGAAAAATTTCGAGCGGTATGTTTTTGTTTTTTTGTCAGTTTCTATAAAATAATGCTTTCTGAACACGATAGTGTTGATTTGACACCTTTATCCTTTTTAATTTATTTGGCATGTCCGTTTTAGTGTCCAACTACCATGTGGTACAGGATGGACCAGCTTTGTGTGTACAGAATAACCACTCTAATAAATACTAATACTAT